AGGAGCGTGGAAAATGGAAACGCATGGAGCACATGGACAATGCTCAAATCAAGCAACAGCAGCTGGCGGAGGTGACTCAGGAGATGGTCGATTGCTCATCATGGGAGGAGATGGAGGAGGAATTTGTGATGTTCTTGCAGCCACCTGGAGCAAAGGTGAAAGTGGAACAGCAGCGAGCTCGAGTGCTTCGAGCTTCCGGCGGCAACGTGTTGCTAGCACAACACTGCTTCGAGTGCCAGACAATCTTCTGTCCTCGTGGGGCTCATCTGTTTTGCTGCCCGCTATGCAAGAAGAGCCTCAATCCGGTCAAGTTTGACAACGATCACAAGTTGTTCCGAGTGACGCCCCGTCCTTGTCTGGACATGGAGTTGCCTGGCACAGAGGAAGATGCCGAAGCACTCCACGCCGAAGGCCCTGAGGTTGTGCTTCCCAAGCAGTTGAATGACCACATCAAGAAGTGGGAACGCCGAGGATACAAGTTCACAGACGCCGCCAAAACCATGCTCCGCCTTGCAGTGGAACAGTTCGCGAGCCTGAGATTTATGCGTGGGCACTTGTCGCAGCAGCATCGCAAAAGCGGCACTTTGAAACTGGAGGACTTGAGATTTGGATCGATGCTGTCAGACACGGCCACCATGGGAGACATGCTGGATGCATCAAGCTGAGGCTCAACGACTTGTCGTTTTGCAAACCTGTACCGGTACCCTTGTACCCTAAAACCCAAAACTTGAACCGTGACACCAGTCTCTGGCTAGGCACGAAAGGAAGAAGCAGAGGAGTCTCTGCAGGACAAGACCTCAGGCAAGAACAAGACGGCCTCTTTGCCGGACGTGCCTGAGGCAAAGCTTTCTGCGTCGGCCTCATCTTTCCGATCCCCACGCCGGTCAGTGTTGTGTTGATTCCAATTCGATGTTGAGGCGCTCCAGCTCCGCATCCGCCTCGACGAGCTAGGCTTGGACGTCAAGGGGGCCAAGCCCGAGCTTCTGCACAGGCTGCTGAGTGGCATGCAGGACGCTCGCTTCTTTGTTCTCGGACATTTTGAGATCGTAGCCGTGCAGGAGAATCTTGATCACTTCCCACCGGACATAGAGTTTCATGAAGATGGTGCGACCGCTGCAGCCTTACCGTGGAAAGTGGGAGTACTTGATGCCCAACTGGCTTCTTCAGCCGAGGTCCTGGAGATGCAAGTACGACTAGCTAGGCGTGGCCTGTGCCACAAGGGTACAAAGCAAGAGCTGCTGGCTCGCCTCCATAGCTTGAAGGCCTCACAACAGGCTGCCGAGTTGTGAAGCTCTGCTTTGATTCCAGAGTTCGTGCCAACTCAGAAAAGTTTCTCGGCTGCCGGTCTCGAGCAGTGGTTGCCACAGCTGAGCACCTGATTTGGCATGTCGCGGCTGGTCAAGCTGCTACTGCTGCTGCCGCTGCTATAATGCTAGTGCTGCGCTATTTTGAGTGCTACTGGTGTCACTACTACTGCTACTGCCGCTGCTGCTGCTGCTGCTAATACGATGACAACAACGACCATACCACTGCCACGACCAGGACCACTAGAACCTTCTCAACCACGGTGTTGCTGCTGCTTTTGCAGTCTTGCGCGGGCTTCGCGCGCGCGCAGTTTGTGTTATTACTGTTCTCTTCTTTTTGTGCTATTATTCTGCGTTCTCGTCAAGCTTCGAGAACTTGGAATTAGAGGGCTTGGCACTGCTCTAGGCCCCAACAAAGCCTGAAACAGAGAAGCTTCCCCATGTTTAAGCCATCTCGGCTAAGAAGAGAGCCGTCGTCTTTTTTAAGTCTTTAGAGGCGACGCGGCGCTGGCCGAGGAAGCCGAAGCTCTGCTCGCGGCTCTCGCGCCCGAGGAGGCCAGCAAAAGTGCCTTTGCCAGTGCGGGCTGTCGAGTTGGGATCACCAAAAGCATATGGAAAAAAAACACTCTTAGTCAAAGAATATATCGTAGTAATACTGTTCTTGACTGGAGGCACAGTGCTTGCATGACCGGTGAGGCAACCTTTGCAGGAGGCGCGCGGCGCTTCTCCTGGCGAGGTGTCGAGGCCGGTGGGTGGAGAGCGTTGTGGGCTTCCAGGCACTGCCGAAAAGCTAGGATCCATAGAGCTGCAGCCTTGACAGCAACGAGCTTCGTTTAAGGTGGACTTCTACGAGCTGGAGGAGGATCCGCAGACCGACCTGCTTTTTGGCTACGGCCTCTGGCCGGTCGGCCGAGCTGCACAAAGAGAAGAAAGGGGACAGGGTTTCCAATCGCTCCATTCGTTGCTGAAAGTCTGGCAGGGCTCCTCCGCTCCTCTTTTTCCAGGAATGCCGATGTTTCAGTCCAAGTGTCAAGCCCTAAAAGAAGTCCCGACCGAGCGACAGAGAGAGAGACAGAGAGCAGTACCGCAGAGCCATAAAAAATCCCGTGGCACTTAGAAAATAAACCCTTCACTCTTCTGAAAATCCCACCCCCGAAAGAAATCGGGCAGAAAACACGGCCACCCAAGGCCTTCCCTCCATCTGCCTCTCCTCTCAGCTCAGTCAGGTGGCCTCCAGCCTCGCCAAGCTGCTCACCAACGCCGCGCTGGACGAGGAGGACTCAGAGGTGCTCCCGGGCTCGTTTGAAACTCTCCCCGTGGCCGTTTTTAAGGGCTCTTTGAAGACGTCTGAACGATCTGTGTCCCCCTGTTTTTGGAAAGTTAAGGAGGAGTATCTTATATTTTGGGGTCCATATAATCAGGATCCTACTGTTTCGGATGCTATCTTAGGGACCCCTATTTTCAGAATTTGTGGGGTTGCGTAGGCGCAAGCCTTAGGGAGCCCTCTCGCGAGAGCACACCCCCCTGGAAGCTGAAGCTCTTCCCTCTGGACTGCCCCAGGTGCAGGGCCACCCGATACCCTCCGTCAAGGCGCTCTCCGAACGTTCTCTGTTTCTATAGTGTAGGAGCAAGACAGCCGCCTAAGAACCGCCCACCTTCCGTAAAACCAGCGGACCTCAGCCGGAGGCGGAGCATTGCCCCCAAAAAGCCTCCGGAGCGCCCACTCCTGTGCAGGCCAAGTCGATCTTGGAGATCGGAGCCTCGGGGCTGAAATGAGTTCTGCGGCTCTCTGACCCTCCCTCTCTCTCTCTCTCTGTCTTTTTCTTCCCTCCCTCTGTCTGCCCTTCGTGTTTGGAACGAGCCCTTGTCCCAGGGGCTGGCGTGGGCCTGCCCTCGCTGGTCTGCCGTGCATTGGGTGCCGCGCAGGCCTCGGATCCTTTCGACAACGTGCTTCGCATTTATTTTGTACTGCCCTCCAAGTGTGCGGTTTTTCTAGATTCGCCACTTCACTTTGTTGGGAAGAGGCTGCCGACTCTAGGACAAGCTTGTGGAGTCTGAAATGTTTCGGGGAAGGCGGAATTGATCGGAAACAAGTGAAGTAGCAGTGGTCGTCGCCAGCTGCTGGTGCCCCCGGCAGCTTACACACATTATGCCGCATGCCGTACTAAATGAGTAACAAGTTCCTGGTAGGTGACAATCACGGACGCAGAACTTCGGCTGGTGGATGCCCTGCAGGACCGTCTACTGCCAAAGATTTGAGTTTGTCCGCCTAAAAGGCCAGACCAAGCAAAGCCAGAAAGCTTCCTCCCCTCCCCCTCCCCCTCGGCCCTGGCTTACAGAATCGGGTCCCAAAGAGAGGAATTGAGCGGCACCCGTACCTGGGAGGAGCATCACGGCCACCACCCTGAGCTGCGCTTCGAGGTGCTGGACTGGAAGCTCGATGCAGGAGCCCACGGTGAGAGCGATGCACAACTGTCTGAGTATTTTCTCAGGGTCGGACGTTTTGTGAGATGAGGTGCTAAATCCTCTCAGAGCCGACACTCTCCCCATACTCGTAGGTCTACTCTGCACGAAAAAGCGCCGCCATTGAAGACTGAAGACTGATCGTGCGTTGAGCTGTCAGGAGAGGAGCTTTACGATCTCATCCTCGCCTCCGACATTCTGCTCGCCTGCTGTGAGGCACCAGAGAGAGCCCCCGATGAGCCCGTGACTTCCGATTCCGCTCAGCGTCTGAGTTGTTTGAGAGGGCCCCGTCTTCGTGCCGCAGCTCCTGGCCCGCCGGCTCCGCCGGTCTCCCGAGGCCCGAGCCAGTCCCGCGCCGAGTCGCTTGGAAGTCTTCGGGAGGAGACTCGACCCCTTTTTATTTTAATGATGAGCCAGAGAGACGGCTAGAGAGACGACAAACACGGCGACGGCGACTCACGATGCTAGAGGCGCGGGCGCTGCTGCTGAATGCTCATCGAGGAGAAGCAGCCCAAAGGCCGCTGATTTTCGCCTTCAGTCGCCTCACTGACCGGACCTGCACCGAAGCCCCGCAGAAAAGCAAAGCAGAGAAAGCGCAACCTCCCACTCTCTGCTTTTGACGCACCTTCCTGTGTTCAGGACTGCGATGTGCGAGATGCGGCGACAAGGCTTCCTGGTCTCCAGCTTCGCCGTGTCATCTTCGCAGGCCCGCGTATGGGAGAAAGCATTTAGAAGTTTAGCACCTTAGCATTTTGCGCCAAAGCTAAAGGTTCTAAGATTCTGTGACCTCGTCCTGTCCTCGATGGGATTGGCCGTCCGATATCAGCCCCAAGACCCCCTGGGCCCCTGGCCTGAGCTGGGCCTCCGCCGTCGGCCTGGAAAAGACGGCAACCGCGAAGTCTGAGCATGTTTTCACGTGAAGCGCCTCGAGACTGCAACCTCCTGCAGGCCCCACATTTCAGTCGGTGTGCACAGGAGCTCCATGCCGTGTCGGAGGAGCGCTTCAGCGCCCTGCCGCAGGCCTATACTCGTACGGGGAGCTTCGCAGCCCTTCGCCGGAATTACAGCAGCGGCACAAGATGGTGCTCTCTTGAAGCACCCGTCATACCCACGGCGCGCTCCAAAAGGATCATCCTGTTTCCCCCCAGAGTCTCAGAAGCAACGTTTCTCGACCGCGACAGGGCTCGCAACTCCTGCTCGTGGCTTCCTGGTCCGGAACCGGAGCCAGCAAGGTTGGGCAGAGACTGGGAAAATTTGGGTTGCAGGTTGGCGCATGCCGTTGTCCAGTCGCCGCTGCATGAAAATTCCAGTTAGGGATTTCCGATGCTAGTCTTCAAGTTGGCATCATCAAGTGTGCTGAGAAGGGGCTCCTGGACCCTCTTGCACAAAGCAAGCTCGGATTAGTCTCTCTTTGATGTTAGAGCATCCGATGGTTTTGCTTGGGGCATTACCGAAAGTCGGAACGCTGCGAGACGACGTTCCCGAAAACCCGGCGCTGCAGACGTCGGAGATTTCGCCCTTTACTTGTAGCACTACATTCCACAAGTCTGATTTGTCACGAGCTTCAACTTAACAGCTTCACTGTTCATTGTTCTCATAAACCTTCGAGCAGCAAGTAAGCATGACGTATAGCTTTCTTATTGCGAAGCAGGAGTGCGCCGGAAAGCAAGGTTCCGCGCCTGCGTAGCCAAAGTTGTCTCATAGATAAGCTTGCATGAACTCTTGAACGGCTACCCATGACCTTGTCGAAGAAGCCGAAAGATGTTCGCTTGCAGGCGCAAGTGGAAACTGAAGCTGACAAGCTGACGGCCTTGCAGTCAAGATCCGAATCCTGCACCGTTTTCTCGTGGGGTCTCGTGCTCGCTGTAGAGACATGGGTCGGCTAAATTTCGCTGCTGACTACACGAAAAGCCCACAGCCAATCGTGGGGCACAGCACAGCACAGGAGAGCGCGAGGCTACAGATCGTAGAACTTCGAACTGTGTTTTCAGCAAAGGTGTTCAGTACATATATTCACTCTACAGGTTACAAGAGGGCGCGAGAGCTCAGAGATTGAGTGGCTGAGTAGCGCTCCGTACTTCTTGGTGCGTTTGGCTTGACCCGGCCAGCGGCGCTTCCCGATGCATGTGTTGAGAGTGATTCACATTGCATGGTGGAGGCATGCGCGGCATTATGGGACATGTAGCTGCGATTGCCATGTTGGCCGCAGATCCCTAAGAACGCGTTTGAATGGCATGGGCTCGTTGAGCCATCGGAACCATCGTAAAACATTTTGTGAATTTTGCCCTTGCCTGGGCACTTTGTTGTGTGCGGCCACGATCCGGCTGCCGGCGCAGATGGTCCCTCGGCGGCAGACATGGGGCTGGAGGGCTCAAGAGGGAGTGCGAGCTTCGGGTTGAGGCGCAGAGCTTACTGCGCCTGAAAAGAGTCTGGCATTCCGGCCTGAGGGTCTCTGAACTTCGAGTGCTATGTAATTACGAGGTTCGCGATGCCCCGCGCTGTGCGTGCGGCGCTGCGGCCGGCACTGGCCGCTGCAGAGGGAGTACAGTGGGCCGGCGACATCTACGGCTGTTACCATGCTGTTACGATTTGGTGATGCATCTATTGAAAGTGCAAGGCTTTAGAATTGGTAGGTCGCAGAGTCCTAGAGGCTCAGAAGCTAAATGGAGGTCGGATTTGTGGAAACGGAGGCGGCAGTGGCTATCTGCCCAAGGACTTGTTTCAGGTTTGGCATGAGACTTAAGGCCCGCTCCTGCCGAAACGCGGGCTCCGATTGCCATTTCCTCGAGGTGCAGAGGTCACAGGAACTAGCTCGGTCGGAGACCTCTCATCCACCGAAATACGGTCTTTTACACTTTCGAGATCATGGGCACCCTGACCCTGACCCTCCACGAGCAAAGGTGGGTGCAGCGCTTTCGCGAAGTGGGCCATTTGTGGGCCAAGCTGGACCCGGCCCCGTGTTCCCGGCTCTAAAATTTCTGATCGAGATCCTGAAGCTAAGCCGCGTGCACATCAGAAGCCAAGCGGGCGTGTAGTTGGTTTCGGGCAGCTTGTGCACCGCCCCAGCCCTACGGCAAACCAACTCTGAAAATTCTTGGCTCGTACCCCGTCCCTGAGACTTGAGGTGAAGCCTGTTCGCTAAGCCGCTTAGCAACCGATTCAGAAATCGAAAGTAAAGGTTCTGAGGTTCGACAAGATGCATCCCAAAGAGGGAGCTTCTCTTTGAGATCAAGAGTTGGACGCGGAAACTGAAAGATCCACTCAGGCAGAGGCAAGCTAGTGACAAACTGGGGAGCCTCCAACCTAGCGAGTTTAACAATGAATGCCACATGTAGGAATGTAGCATCGACAAGCAGGACCCCCTGGGCCGTTGCCGCGGGTCCCTGGCACGCTGCCCGGACTGGTGGCGCGAGGCCGTCATGGTCCGATGCGTCAAGCCAGTATCTTCACTTGTCTTCCTCCACCTGCACTTCAGCCTTTCCACTCCTGCGCCCACACATAGATTGAAGCTTGGAATGGTGGCCTCACCGGTTTGATTTGATCTAGAGCATTGGTGCCGTACATTCTTACATCTAGACATGGTATGTTTTCTTCTTTTTTCGGCCTGGGTTGAGCTGCAAGTACCTAGCTCTGTGCCTGTCGCCTCGAAGCCCTGTGCCCACTTTGCCTCCCTGAATTGGAAGGTTGAAGGAGGCGACGGAAGCCGTTTGAAGTCCACGATATTGTAGGAGCTTTTCTCAACACGAACTCCCCCGCTTCCCGATCTCGAAAGGAACAGAGCCATGTGATGGAGCGGCATCCGCCACCGGGCCGGCGAGAAGGGGACGAGGTTTGTGTAACAGGCCAAGAGTCCTGGAGGGCAGGAATTGGTCAGAGCGTTTGCCATTGCGGGCAGTGGACCGTAGAATCCCCTGCTGTGGGACGGGACTAAGAGGGTCCTTCCTTGAGTCTCCAAGGCTTGCGGGGTCCCTGCCCTCGACCCCTTCCACGCCACCACGGCGTCTCTTCGTGCCGAGGGGCTTGCTTCACGCAGCCGCTGGGTGACACTTTGCGGGCCTGTGCGTTCAGGTTGTTCCCACTTGAGAAGTTGGAGAGATGTTTGATGCGTCATCTTGGCTTAGAGCGAGGTTCCCTGTGATTTCGGAGGCAAGAAAACACTGTCGGTCAAAGCCTCCTGAACAGGAAGGTGGCCCCTGGTGGAGTCGCGAGGAGCTGCTGCGCGTCCTCGAGGCAGTCAGAGACCTTGGCCTCTAAAGTGATCCCCTGAAGAGCTAGTCAGGCAGCTTTCGGGAGAGCTCGAGTGAACCGGAATGCTGTGCCGTGAACCCTGGCTTTCTCCAAGCCAGAATGGAACACTCGAGCGCACAGGACGCCTACTGCGGACATCTCAGCTTTGAGGCACCGTGGGACAGAGGGGGCTAGAAAGATCTTGCATTAAAATTGCGAAACCCAGAGCCCAAGATCTCACTGCACGCTCTCTGCTCATCCGATACCGAGGTCGGTCAGAATCTTGAGCGAGGTTATGAAGCGTATTTGAGGATCGGAAAGAGTATGTCATACCTGTTCGATGGTTGCGGTAGTCGAAAGGTGCCCCAAAGACTTAAGGACTCCAAGCCCAAAGCCAAGTTCACCTACCTGTGACATGAGCTGGGACTTTGAGTAGTGGGCCCTGCAGTTGGGCAGCTTCTTGGCACGACGGTGTGGCAGCGCCGCCCTCACGCCCCAAACCATCACACAATCAGAACCACCGATCCGCACATCAAAGGCAGTCGTGATTAACAAACCTAGCGCCAGCCGACCACGCTCCCTGTGGTGTTGCAGCAGCAGGTGAATCATTTGCCAGACATGGAGCAGAGAAGGCACGGGTGGCGGGAGCGGGGCCACGGACTCGGCGACATCTGATCCGAAACCCGTTCTGCGATCACCGTCGAGCTCTCCTTTTAACTGCCCCTGCAGAGGTGGTGGCACTGCGCCGCCGAGACGCCGCGGCCTCCGCCACCAGCGTGGAGAAGGCCAAAGTCCCAGCGCGCCGGGGGGAGGTCCCAAGTAAGGCTTGGGAGCAGCGAGTTCCCAGAAGACGCATCTCGTTTCGCCGAAGCCTGGAGAGTTTTGAGTCTTTACGGAAGGGACCCAAAGCCACCCGGCCCTAGCCTTCGCTTCCAGGCGGGCCATGCTTGCGAGGCACGGGACCCGAACGCTGGGATCAGAGAATCAGCGGACTTTATATAGCTGATACTGTGAGTAGTTCATATAGTTCATACTCAAGTGATCAGCGGGTTGATCCTGGTGGGAAGCTCCTTTGTGGCTAAACGGGGTGGCCATGAGCAGGCTGCTCCGTGCCACGCTGCTGACGCAGTTCCTTCGTCTGAAGTTCCCGGCCACGACGCTCGGCTCCGGCGGCTCCCAGGAAGAACCTGTTTCAGGGGGTCCCCCGAACCCGAAAGAAACCCCCGAAACCCGCTGTTTCTTGCTGGTTCGCAGCCTTTTCCCAAATCGCAAGTGTGGCTTTGGGGCCGCCAACCTCCAGCCGTCTCTCCAAGGAAATGGTTTGGGCTCGATGGCAGCGAGGCGCCCGTGCGGGTCGCTGCATCGTGCAAGCCAGCTCCAAAAAGAGCCGCGATGAACCTCGCAGTTGTGCGGGAAAACGTGTACTTTCAGTCTGCAGCAAAACTTGAAGTGCGTCCTTCTCCTGAAAGCTTGCACTGCACTTCTCCCCCATGCCAGGTGTTGTTGCCCGGCCTTTTCCGCCTTTGCTACCGCCACTCGCACCTGTCAGAGGATTCCAAGTCGGGGCGATTTTGGTGTCAAGCGGTAGGCCGCGAAGCCCGGCCACCGTCCACCCCAGGCTCTGCCGCCCGCGGGGTGGAGCAGATTGAGATGGGCATGCCGCATCGAGGCCAGCTGGCCCTACACCTCAAGCTCCTGAGCCCTCAAAACCCTCAGAGCGCAAGCCTTGTCAGATGTTTTTGCAGAATCATGGGGTTGGATTTCAATTCTTCAGAAAGCAACTTTGCTTTCGAGCTCTGTGCCGGAAGTCATTGAAGACGGCAGAGCTCAAGGCAGTCCCCGCTTCGCTGCTGTCGTCATGCACCCTTGCAAACTGACATGCGCTGAGGACGTTTGAACATCCTGGCGAACATCCTTGGCAACGAGACTTCTGTTCAGAACGTCCGTAGGTGTTAAGCGAGTGCTACAGGCGAAGGGCATCGGGCTCGCGTTGCAGTCATACTCACTGCGAGGCTCTGGACAACAAGGGACCCGTAGACCCTTTTGGCATTCATCAGTCGACATATTCGGGAGCGCGGTATCGTGCAGCCGGAAGCTGGTGCGTTTCCTGATCCGCTTCTCCCGACCTGATCATCCCCATATCGTCCTGATCCATTTCTGCGAGCTGATGCGTCCTCCTACCCGTGCAGCCTGCAGCACCGTGAGCCGGCTCGGGTGCTCGTCGCAGCTAAGGCAAAGAGTTGAGCCAAATCTGCTGCGAGATGCGCGAGGACAGGCTGGGACTTCCCACCCGCCGAAACCGCAGCGTTGCGTAAAACCGATCCGAACCCCGAGCAGCCCAGAAGCTGTGTAGACGGACATGCTCGCACTTCTGGCCTGTTCCGTGCTGACATCTGAATCTGCTAGGATCACAGTGATTTCCACGTGGGAGATGTGTGCCACCCTCGGCTATTGCATGCAGTAAGCCAAAAAAGGCTATGCGCGCCGGCCGTTGGCTGTGGACTCAGGAAGTACCATACCGGTTACGTGGGCGAGCTCCCGAATCTCGAGGCACTCAATTGCCATCATGCTGGCTTAACGAAGTTTGGGGGGCCCCAAGGCCAGCCACGCTTCTGCTTCAGGACCCTATAAGCAGTCACATTTCCTTAGCACGCGCCTCCCGCAGGCCTGGTGGCACGAGCGTTTCGGAGCAACCGACAGCGACCACCTTGGCGAGAGCGTGCGCTCGCCGGCGCTTTGGGACTGCACTTGGCAGATTTTGCTTGGTCCCAAGAGGCAACCGCTGGCAGATGTTGCGTTTGGTCCCAATTGCGGCCAGAGAAAGCTCAGGTCGTGACCATCGCGCCGAACCCCAGCCACTTGGAAATGGTGACCCCCGTCGTGCTCGGCAAGGTCAGGGCGCTCCAGGCGGCGCGAGGGCTGACTCCAAAATTGGTGCCTTTCCCAACTCCCGAGGGTGACCAGTGGACGAACAGATATGAAGAGATGTCCGCCGACATGGAAAAACTGCGTGCCGAGAACAAACATGCGCCGAGATGGACAAAATTCACGCGCAGACAGAGTTCAACAGAAAAGAGAGGTACTATGGGGAATTAAAGGAATTTATGAGGAATGATCCAGAGGCAGTTGGTAGAGTTTGAAGATGACTAAGTGAAAAAGGACCCGCAGACATGCCAAAAAACACGCGCCGCACCGACATGCAAGAAATCCGAAACAGGCACCGACGTGTCAAAAACAAAACATGCGCCGACATGTCAAAACCGCCCCCGCGGACATAATATCTCGGGGTGTTGGTCTTTCTGGTAGCCACGACGGTGTCCTTGCCACTGGCTTCTTGGCAGGACCTTGCTGAAACTCGGGATCGCGGCCTGCAGAGTGTGATGGGGAAGCTGGGCTTGAGATTTCAGGAGGGGTTCAGGCGGGCTGCGTGCGCTTCAAGCCTCGAGAGTCGAAGCAACTGATCTCAAGCGCGAGGTCTTTCGTGCAACAAGTGTGTGCCGAAGTATAGTCGTGATGATGTTCTTCCACAATTGCGTTGTCAGCGTGTGGTGCTGGATAAACTAGCTACGGGTTGGGAACCTTTCGTGCCTTTGCGTCGGGGTACTACCCAACTACATGGGCCATCGTTGGACGTAACTGCTGCGCAAGCCACTGGTGAGGATGGTAAGTGCAGTTCTTTCGAGCAGTGCGGATCTGCGTCGGAGACGGAAGTTTCGGAAGACGAGGATGCGGACGCGGAAGGGTCTGCGTGCAGTGATTGCAAAAGCGATTGTAATTCCTCTTGCGACAGTGACGATGAGGGTTTGTGCTTTGATGGGCTGTGGGTGGTTAATAACAACACTGGCTGGTATCACAAAGCTGCGCGAGTCGCAGAAAGCACTCTGTGTTTCAATGGACAATGTTGGGCCCTGGCGTGTCGCCCCAAGGCCAAGCTGCTCACATCTTATCGTGTTTCGGATACGCCGCCTTCCTTGCAGGGCTTCACGTGACGCGGGCACAATGGTTGTGGAGCTTAAATGCCAGTGACTAGTTACGCAGGGGCCCAAGTTGCTCTGTATTATCACTGTGTTGGCACTTGGGATGCATTGTAGTTGCTTTGCTGGCTATAAGTTGCTGTCGGGTAGCTGTGTTGCTACATCTCTGGTCGGGGTAGCTGCAATGCTGCCTGTGGACTGTAGGTGCTGCAGTCTTTGGTGTTTTGTATGTGGCTGCAAGGCCACGTGGCAAGTTGGGTGGCTGCAATGCCGCTTTTTTGTTCTCCCTGTTTGGAGCTGCAATGCTACCTTTGTGTTTTGTTGCGCGGCCGCAGTGCTGCGATTGGAACAACGTTCCCTACGGCTACAGCTATTTTGATTGTACATTTATTTGCAATCGGAGCTCTGAGTTGATGGATTAAGTTGACGTGGGGCGTCATTGCATGCATGGCGCTAGGGGTGCCCGCAACCGCAACGAACATACGCATTGGCACGTACTCCAAGCAATGTTTCACTCGAAAAGGGGACGCACCAACGTCTTCAACCTCTTCTGCTTCCCAGCCATTGCTCATAGACAGATATTCCCAAGCATCTTTCGGCTTGGCTGACTTTTTCTTTTCTCGCATGCGCTGAATGGCGTCCTCGCTGAGGATCTTCCTCCAGGAGATCCACTCCCAGGACCGATTCGTACACTGCGCCCGCACCGACTGCAAGAGCTGTAACCCCGGCAATGTCATGTCAGAGATAAACACACCAGGAAAATTCTTCTCGAACTTCTCAACCAACTGATGCCGATCACCGGCCGACATGCGTGAGGAAAGTTGCAAGAAAGGCAACGCCGACTGTTGAGACGCATCAGCCCCGCTCGGAGAACCTGACGAAGGAGGTTTACAATCCTTCAACTCACACCACACTGCTGTCAAGGCGGCCACAGCAGGATGAATGTCCCAGTCAGCTGCATCCGCAGCAATCAACTTGGCCGCAATCAGAGTATCATGGGCATAAGCATCCAGCTTTTCCAAACTCCGAAACGCATGAAAGAAAATCAGACTTGTGACGTACTTCGCCACAACGACCTCAGCCAGCTCATTAGGCACGCCAGCGTTGCGCAGCATCTTCGGCTTCCAACTGTAAACGAAGCTGAGGAGGCAGATCGGCAAGTGATGTGTGATGTCTTCAGGCTGCTGTACAAGGGGGAGCTTCCTGACGATGCTTTGCAGACAGTTGTGAAGGAGGGGGACTGCCTCCGTCGCCTTCTCTTTTGCCCTCCGAAAGACAACAAAGGGGTTGGCAAGGGCAAGGATAGAGACTTCGTGGGGAAGCCTAATCCTCAGAAGCCTCTTTTGAGGCGTCGTGCGAATGCGCGTGCCAGCGTGCCGGAGAAGAGGTTGAAGCGCTCTTTGTGTGATGCCTTCCAGAAACACAAGTGCAAGTTTTCAGCTTTGTTGGAAAGAAGATCACGGTGCTGATTTTTGCTCTGGGAAGCAGGAGTGACTATCTGGCGACTTGAACGTTGACTCTTCTTGTGCGTTGCCTACTGCTTGTGTCGAAGTTGTGAACGAGCCCTTTGAGTCAGCCTTTTGCTGGCTGGTTTTCTTGAGTCTTCGACTGTTGATGTGGGGCACTTGAAGAGCGGTAGTTCATCATTGTCGGCTTGTGGTACACAGCAGAATGCTTGTATGAATCTGCACTCGCAGATCCCTATTGTGGATGGTGGGGGCTGCTTGTCTACGGCTGATTGGAGCGTACCCCGTGAAAAGGAGGATCACTTTTCTGCCGTGCGGAAAAGATTTGGCCATTTAGCGTCTGAGTGGGGTCTTCTGAAAAGGCTGAGCGCTCATGTTGAAGGTCGCTGCGAAGAGTCTCTTTTCTCTCCAGATGAGCTCGAGGTGTTGCGCAGTTGCGCAGTGGGCTTCTGTCTTTTCTTTCCAGCAAGGGTTTTGTCTGCGACGACAGCATTGTGGACAACCAGCCCTTTTTGTTAATTGTTCGGCAATCGCTGAGTACCTTGACATCTGATCAGGATGTAGAACTTCCTAGACTTCTGCAGGAAGGCGCTTCGTTGCACAATCCCTCCTTCAGGTGTATGGGAAATGGTCGCGGAACCAGTCGCTGTTGAGCAGGATTTGCGGCTGCATCTGGAGCCGTGGCGCAGTGCTTCTGATAATTTGGCTTTGGCCAAAAGGCTTATCATGGATGATGTTGCCGCCGGCCACGCATTTGTTCTTCCTGGCAGCGAAGCTGAAGCAAGAAACCACGACTTCTTGGGGACGGGTCCGTCAGTGGTGCCAACGCGGCTATCCAAGTACTTGAGAAGGTACGAAATCCTTCGTTGCACGCCGTGCAACGATTTCTGTCTTGCGTTGACAGCGCTATTAGCTGGTGCCTCTTCAGTTTTGACGTGAAGGGAGCGCACAAGTTGGTGCTTGTGAGAGAGGATGAGCAGGGGTATTCTTGCTTTTGTGCTGGATGGTGTCTGGTATTATTGTTATCGGAGTTGCTATTTTGGTTGTAAGTGGGCTGCGTATTGGTTCAGTCGAGTTGGTGCTTGGTTGGTGAGGATGCTTCATCGGGTCAGTTGGGTGAAGCACGGAATGTTTTTGCTTGTGGACGATGGGCTGGAGTTCTTACCTTCTGTTGTGGGACCACTTCTGGCACTTCATTCTCTAATGTTTCTTTGCGGTATTGGTGTGCCTTTGAGCTGGGGCAAGTTGCGCTTTGGTCAGTGCTTGGTTTGGGTTGGTTGGAAGTTCCACGCAGAGCTTTGCGACAATGCTGGAATTACTGCTGCTTCGGTAAAGTCGTTAAGTCAGAAGGAGCCGTTGTCTTTTGTTCTTCAGGCACTGGGATATTATTGCTGCAAGTGGAATCTTACACGGCATTGCTCTCATATTGCTGGAGAACGGAATGTCTGGGCAGACTGGCTCAGCCGTGATGAGATCCCAGCTGGTGTTGATTTGCGCAAACGTTATTTCGTGGATGTCATGGAAATATATTGCAGTTGCCTTGGAGTGAGCGCAGTCATGTGTATTGTTCAGGGATTTGAACCCGTTGGTTGGGGAGCTTGTCACACCTGAAGTTGGGAGAAGCGATTGGGCTGCGGCCCTTTTCTTGTGCGCAAGCTCATTGAAAAGAGGCGTGCTGCAGTATGTGTGTGTTGGTATGCCTGCGTACAGCGTCAGCTTGCGCATGCACCATACACTCACGACTGCAGCCGTTTTCGTTGCAGAATGGTTGCAGAGGTTGCACATTTCTGCGCCCGCCCAACCCGCCCTGATGGGCATTTAGCGGTGCCCCAAATGGCATGTCCTTCAAGGAGAAGCGATTGAGAAGCGATTGGGCTGCGGCCCTTTTCTTGTGTGCAAGCTCATTGAAAAGAGGCGTGCAGTATGTGTGTGTTTTCGTGACAGGCGCTTTTTCCACGCAAAAAGCCCCTCCCTCCTTAGCCTTCCTTTCCAAGGATCGTTTTGCACGGCGACGCCGCTTTCGCCGGCAGCGGCATGGCCTTCGAGGCACTCCAGCGGCCCGGCCCGGCGGAGAGCAGAGCGGAAGAAACTTCAAACGGATCTTTGCTTATCCGGAGGCCGAGGTGTTCCCTGCTGTTGGTCGTTTCCTCACCTCCGCGCGAATAGTCCCGTGAGCCTCGGGGGGGATTGGCACTTCTTTGGAGTGCAGATAAACGGCGAGTGCACCGAGGTTCTCGGAGTTGCCTGGCTACGGCACCGGCGGCACCATCCATGTGGCGACCAGACGAAGTTGGTAATGTTTCTGATCAGTCAAGTGTTCATGCAGGCAACATTATTCCCACAATGTCCATGTGGTGATCAACATGAAAACAGGAGCTTTCTCAGAACGAAACGGCCAACAACCACCCACAAAAAGCTGGCTGGTCCGCCTGAACAGTAGTTCGTTTCGCTGTTTCAGTCCCCTGCGCGCTGTCCAGGTCCTCAACAACCAGGTCGGCTATACGACGACCCCAAACGAGGCCGTCGAAAAGTTGGGCGCTCTGCAGTCTGCACCACTGTGTAAACTTTGCCCGAGCATTGCGAAGGGGCGATCAGCAGCTCACCCGAGTGACGTCGCGAAGGTTGCTTGGCAGTTTGATTAAAACGGAGATGAGTTTGCAATTATCCGCATGAGATCATCCCTGCATGTCCTAAGTTTCGAGAACATCAACCTGAATTGCAAAGAACCAACCTTCAAGTATGATCGGGCCTGAGCCGTCTCCCCGTTGTGCCTTTGGTGTCGCGTGGGTTGGGTTTCCTCTTCTCCCCTGCCCTGGCGGGTGATGGTCGTGCTGTTCGCGGAGGCAGGAAAACCGGCCCTCTCTACAAGCTTCAGGCCTGCATGTTGTGTTTGCCCGATTTTCCATGTAGACACACGCACGCACACACGCACAGACACACACACACACATCCTGGCTGCTGACCGGAAAGCGACTGTTGGCGGAAGACGACGCGTGTCTCGAGGATAGGGGCCCCAACAGGCTCAATCCCTGTGACCACTGTCGCAGACAGCCCCAGGAAGGGGTGGGGGGGGGGGACTTACCATGGTGGAAGGACCGGTGCCAAGGTAGCGTTTGCTTTCAGCTGAAATTTCGCCCTGCGGCGAGCACTCTCCCAGGCTTTGGATCTCCCGATCATCCACGTCAACGCGGACGATGTCGAAGCTGCGGACCGCGCGTGCCCGCCTTAAGGTGGATCGCTTTGGGGTCCGAGCAAATGGGAGTGGCTGCTTTCAATCAACCGGGCTGGGGCTGCGAGCGTTTTGTTTGACGTTCCATCCATCCTTGAAGGATTTGGGTCTTTCTCAGCCTCCGAAGTCACTGAACAAGTCTTGAGGTTTGGCTTGGCTGCCGAGTGGCGGGCGGACTTCCAGCGCGATGTTGTAATTGCCCCTCGGACTTGTTCCTGTTTGGGTTCGGGACTCGTCTTCGAAGTGAAGCCGCAGCCTGTTCACTTCCCGACGAGGATCTTGTGGGCTATCGGAGGCCAAAGACCAGGGCTTGCACACAGAGATATTCAGAGTGCTTGCGGGCAGGTTCGGCCACAACGAGACAGATCGCCCCGATGTTTTTCACCCACTTGCCTATGTGGCTGGGCATTGAAACCCGCAGGGAATCTCGTTTAAGTCTGAGAGATTGCTTGAAGCCCTTCGGCCTTTCATGCTCAGCTGAGATGCACACTTCCCCGCGGTTTCAAAGCTTGTTTTGAGATTGTCCTTGACTGCAGTTCAGGCCCGCGTGCGCGAGCATCCGGAGGCGCCGCACAGCATCACTTTGTCACGGAGACTCGGCAGGTCGATTTTGAGAGTCTTCTTTGTCTCCACCACGATTGCTTAGATTCCTCTTGATACAGAGCAGACCATCGACAAAGCAGAGATATCGGACAGAACACCAGGACTGCGGCTGCTCAACCTGTGCAATAAGGGAAGCATGTCAGAAAGCGCTTTCTTTGTCTGGTCCTCTGGCACCGCCTCTGGAAGCATCTAATGCTTCAACTGCCGAGCCCGGTAGGTTGCGAAGATCTACGCTGCCAAGTTGGTTGCTGAGGGCGTTCTCAGCGAGTCCGAGGTGGCGGAGCCCTGGACTGCAGAGGGAGGAGTCTGATGCTCTGAAGAAAGGGCATGAGTGTTGAGCGGGGTTTACAGTGCATGAGAAGGGCGCAAATGGCATTTACGTTGGAAGCAGCCTTGCAACCTGTGTATGCTCCGTATACAATGCGATCAAGGAGATGCGCACAGCGATCTGGAACGAACTGGATGCTGAGTTCTTGGAGAAAGATCGGTGTCACAGCAGACATTAGTTGGAAAGGTTTCGAAGCCGTAGACTTTGCGGCTCAGTTTTGTCGAGAAGGCCCGAGTCTTTGCAGCTAACGTCGTGAAGCCCCACCCTCTGTGTCCAAGCAAAGGCCTTCCGAAAAAATGGTCTCTGCGACTTAGGCACAGGAAAGACGGAATGGACTGGGTGCTCCGGAAGTACCGCGGACGGATCGACGAGGGTCGGCGGCCGAAGCAGGCCCTCACCGCGAAGCTGTAGGCTGAGCCCGGGTAGACTCGGTAGAGGAGAGCCGGGCCCCGAAAGAGAGGTGCCAGGCCAGAACGGGCAGGTAAGGTTCATGCATCACCGACTCCTTCTCTTCAGGTGAAGGGCGTGACAGGCGTGCCTTTGGAGACGCTGCACAGAATTGGTTGGGGGCCCTGGCTTCGGCAACCGTAATGACCGTTTCTAGTTCACTTCTCGGAGTCAGTCAGGAGGAGGCAGCTTGTGATGTGTGTTGCGTTGCTGTCGCATTGTGGCAAGACCATGAAGCGCTGTGGAAAAGAATGCCCCCTCAACTCTTTAGGGAACTGGGCTTGCAGCCAAAGCTTGAGGCCATGCCATGACCGGCATCCCGGAGACCGTGACGTCGCACTCCGAGGCCTTGAGAAAGCCGAGAGCAGACGGGATCCCCTCCCTCCTCTCCGCCTGCCACGCCTGCGTCTGCATCGCCTGCCAGGTCGAGAAGCTCCTCTCGAAGCGCTTCCCGGCAGCAAAGCCGAGCAAGGCAGAAACGCGAGGAGAGCCCGCTTCTTTCCGGAGCCTTGCGGTTGGAAACTCCGAGGCCGCGCGATGTTCGCTCCGGGGGGGCGCATCGACTTCGCGACGGCGGCAGCTCTGCCGCACGCAGCGGAGCCGGTCGAAGGCTTCGGCGAAAGCTCGTTTTCCTCACCGCTTCGACCTGCCATGCAAGATGGGCGCTTGCTCTTCTTTCCGTTTTGGGGCCCGTGCGGCCGAAGCTACCACACGCCGGAGATTGCTTATAAAGACTATTTTAAAAACCCACGAAAGAGGCGATCAACGCCTGGGGCCTAGTCCGCCGCCTCAAAAAGCCGAGGAGCAGCTGGCCTTCTGCTCGATTTTGCTGCACCGCGACATCTGGGCCCGGAGCTCAGCGACGGGCTCCGCAGCGCATGGCAGCGACTTTTGGAGGCTTTCTAGAGCTGTCGACAGCCAGGCTTTGGCGACGGACGCAGGCTTTCAATTTCCGAGCCGATCGCTCCTAGGCCGGCGACGCCGGGGGCACCGGGAGCTGGGCCGTGGCCGGCAACGCCACTGGACGGCAAACCACTGAGGGGCACCCGCAGCCATTGTCCGTGTGTGTTAGTGTTTCACAAATTCATTGAAGCGCTGTCTGTCTTCTGCATCGAGTCGTACACGTCTTCTCACATGTGGCCTTAGGAGAGGCTGCCGAACCGCAACGTCCGCCTGGCGGGCCAGGACCCAACACACCCCGCTATGCTCCGCTGCGCCGTGTCAAGCTGCTCGCTGGGAGGACTGCGTGCGCGGCACCTTCAACCAGCGTCGCGGCTGCACCTCCAGAGTTCCGGTGGTCACAGTCTCGATACGTGGTTTCGGGCAGCTGGAACTTCTAGTGCTTCAGCTCGCAAAAACAGTCAGAAACAGAGGACCCGCCAGTCCCATTAGCTTCCGCAGTTCTCTGGCTTACGGCGATTGTTTTGCAGAGCTTCCGTCAGGCGCCACCTTATCGTCCAGGTCTCTTGGAATCTGATCAGCCCGAGCATATGACTGGTTGTGAATTCAAGCTTCAGTGGTTCGTCCTGAACTCGAAGCTCGTGTCTCTGTGCATCCGGTGTGCTGGAGTGCTGCAGTGCGTGCTTGCGTGGCCCGGTAAGCACTCTTCACAAGTGAGCGGAACGAAGGCGCCCGTCCAAGCTCCCCAGCCATGAGCTTCAGCCGAGGACTCCGTGAGGGGCGCTGGCGTCGCTCTGCTGCCCCAGGCCCTGGCACCAGGAAATCAGGCGGATGGGCTTTGGGAAGGGTCGAAGGATTTATCTTTGAGGTGGGATGCGCATTGTTTTCGGCCAGGCTGCTGGGTAGTGTGCCAGTGCACTTTCCATGATATTGAAACCGCATGCGAAGGTCAGAAGTTTCAGTCAGAGAGTCAGAAGCAGAGAGAGAAAGAAAGAAAGAAAGAAAGAAAGCAAGAAAGCAAGAAAGAAATAAAGAAAGAGAGAGAGAGAGTATCTATATCTTTTGCCGCAAACCGAGCATCCATATCTTTTACGAGCCCCCCCAAGGCCCCTAAACAAGGGTGCGCCCTTCGGCGCGGGGTGCCTGACAAGCACCCTATGCCCCGGAGAACGGAACAGAACAGAACAGAGAGAGGGAGGAAAATGGGGGCTAATGCGCAGGGACTACCTGTGCCCCCTCCCCCTGTTAAAGCAAAGCGAGACCCAGCAGCCGGGAGTCTCGACACCATGTCCCTGGCAAGCTAGCAAGCAAGTGGTGATTCGTCCTGTGTGGCTCTCCTTCCGGAAAGTCGACATCCATTTCAGAACAAGCTTTGTCGTACGTCGCCACCGGAGGTTCAAGGGTCGTTGCAGCTTTAGGCGTCGCTCCAAAGCAGTCCCATTATTTCGCCACCCGTCCGTTTTGCCAGGCGAACTTCTATGCGTACAACAGCCCCTTGCATCTCGGCTGCGACGCGAATCCTAGGAGTTTTAGGTAGTATTTGCATTTCCCTGCACAGTGCCGGTATTCTAGAACCAGCTGGTCTCTGATAGAGAAGCCAAAATCCGCGCTCAGTGGTCACACGGGAGCTGTAGCGATGGCTCCGAATTGCACTTGATCGTCCCAACCAGTTCAAGCGCATATGTATATGTTTATGTTATATGTATATGTATGTGTATGTATATGCCTATATGTATATATATATATATATACCCCGATTCTTTGCGTTCGCCGATCTGCCATCCCCCACACCAGCCCCCACGCAGGGTCCAAACATGCCGAATCCCTGTGACCGCGTGCACTTCTCCCACATCGACATGACGGCTCCAAAACCGTCAACTGTCATGAGGCTCTCGTCCCAAACCCGATCCTTGTGACCGTGGTCGCTTTCCAACCACGACTCCGACAGGAGGGTATTAAATTTGCAACTGTCAGGAGGATCGCGTGCTGCAGGCTTCTTTGGATGATGAGGATGACGATGACGATCATGATCATGACACCTCCACCCCCCCAAGCAGACGCCTGCACCCAGCTACACCACACCGCAGCCCAAGAAGACCCAAACCCGAACCACACCACACCACAGGAGGCGAGTATCTCCACACCAAGGGGGGGTTGGGGGCCCGGGGGGCGTGGGGGCCCCGGTATCACACATGGGTGGTTGTCAAAATTATGGTCCCTTTTTGGGTCCTTATTATAATACGGCACCTATTATTTAGGGTACCCCAAAAGGGACCATAATTTTGACAACTACCCCCATATAAATATGTATGTATGCACAGATATATGTACATATATATATATATATTTTTGTTTTGTTTATTTATTTATGTATTTCTTTCTTTGTTTTTAACTTGTATTGATCTGCTTGTTTATATTTGCGTATACATACATACTGTGACCAGAAGAAGGGCAGTAGACTTCCTCCGAAGCTGGAGCCTTAGGGGATTGGCTTCAGGAAGGTTTCGCGTGTATGAAAGTGCACGCAAGCACCGCTCGATCTGCAGGTCCGAAGCTGCGGCCCTGGCGTTCGAGTACGGCCGCTGGGCTCCTCTCAGGAGGTTGAGGGCCAAGAATCGTTTGGCTGCAAGGGCATGCTTTTGTTTAGGCTTGAATCACTTCAAGCAGTAAGCATGCACATTCCGGCCAGAGGGGTCCCCACAAAGTTGAGCGACGACACAGTTTGGAGGTTCCTGTCACTGAAGCCCAGGCTATTCTCTGGGTGACGAGGATGCCCTGGTTTGCTGGGAGGCGCCGTTGTTGGGGCCCAGGCGTAGCTTGTGCCGTGCCTTGCGTTCACAGTTGCGTTGTCACCTCAGAGGCTGTCCAGATGCCGGCCAGCTTGCAATACTCAGTTGATGCGAAAACTGCCGCTTGCTGGTGTTCGCGGCTGGTTGGAGTAAGAAGGTTCCATTACAAGAACGCAGAGTTCCGCCCCTTGTGTTGCAAGAGCAAGTTCTTGATAGAGAGTGCAACCTTCACAACTTGCTGGAAGTTTAGCTTTTACGTAGATTGGCTGGTGGTTCTGTTCGAAGCTATTCAGAAACCTTCTCATAAATCTTAGGACCCAGTTGCTCCATATAGGCTTTGGAAATATGTCCGGTGGCAGCGCACCTTGAGATAGATCCGACGATATCTGACACTTCTGAAGGGGTCCCACCTGTTTTTGGGTCATGATGTCCATGTGGGCAACAAGGCACATTTCATCTTCCGTTTCTCGCTGTCATATAGCAGTCAGCATGGTTACACAAGCAAGCCACCAGGAATTCAAGAGACACGGCCGTTTCGTTGATCTTCCGCTCCGAAGCTTTCACAGGCGCAGTTTGGAGACTTTGCCAACTGCGCCCAGGCGGGATGACGCCGCCCAAGTTCTAACCCCAAATCCCTTCAGCCTGCTGCTTAGTTTGCCGAGGATCGAGGTCATGGGGAGGTGGAATGGCGTAGCGACACAACTGCGCAGCAAGATCCCAAGAGTCAGACTCGATCCGCTGCGATTAGCGAACTAGCTGCAGCAGCGGATGCAGAGCCGCCTTGCAGAGGCCGTGATCGACGAGTTCATCGTCTCCGGGGAGCTTCGGCCGCCCTAGAGGCGGAGGAACCGCCCCCCCTCCGGGGTCTAGTCAAATCTCCCGGCCAGCACTCTCAGGAAGAGAAGTGGGGCCAGAGTTCCCGGCTCACCTTGCTGCTCCCTCACGGCTACGTGGCTCGGCAAAGGAAGCTCCTGCTGTGCAGCCCTGAACCCCTAAACCCACAGAGCCAAGCTTTGGCAGCTCCAAGTCAGGTTCGTAGGGAGAGGGGATGCAAAGGGTCGGGCAGAGGGGCTCCAATATGGCAGAGTCCTTCATGAGTGCAGAGTATTGTTTTATGAGATACGAACACTCGCGCGCGCGCGCGCGCGCGCACGCGGGGGCATCCTGAGGCTTCAATTGAGAGTAGTCTCACGTCGCTATCAGCATCGATCACCCCTGTCGTGACCCGAAGGCGTTTTAACAGAACCGGCCTATCAAATGCGCGCGGGCGCGCGAGATCTCCTCGTCCTGAGCGGCAGCAAAGCTGGCGGAGCTGAGGATGGCCAGGGTCCAAACCACAGCAGCGCGCGCTTGGAGCGCTTCCTGTGCCGTGTCCCCGCAAAGAGGAGATTTCAGCGGTTGTTAATGAGGGGGCGGCTTTTCGGAGCTTAAGAGGAGTAAGATTGCAGAGGTTAACGAGGGCGGTTTTTCAGGATGGCTGAGGGGGTGGCGCCCCAAGAAAAACCCACAATCGGGTTCTCGTCGCACCTGGCCCCTTTGTCCTCGCCAGGCAACTCACCAACGATGATCCCAACCATCTCCCTGGAAACTCGCCCGAGGACCGGGAAAAGGGCTTGGGTGTCGGCCCTCCTTCGCTGCTGCTCGCACTGCTACTGCTAGGAGCTGCGGGACATCGAGCGTGCCTTTGAGATCCTTGACGCGGATGGCGCAGGCATCCTGGAGGACTCCCTGGTCCGGCAGTCCTTCATCCGCAGCAGCTTGGCTGCCTCGCCTCCCAACTAACTATCGGACGTAACCACGTATACATAGTTCCCTAAGTATCCCGCCTTGAGAAGCCGCTTAAGACGGTCTTCTGCACAAACACCAAGAGCGCGTAATTCTCCTTGCGCCCTGACTGTGGCATGGTGTCCGCGTACGTGTCTCAAGATCTTCGATGACGGTTACCGTGCTTCGTGGTGTTTTGGTTCATCTATTGCATGCAACCTTCAGAAGTTGTGCAATCTGGCGGAACCATGGGCAAGCACGAGTCTATTGAGCGAGAGCATTCGGTCCAACATCGCTGGGTGTGCTTTCGCCGACTCTTCGCTTTGCCGCTCCGGCAGGAGGGCGCCGTCAAAAGCTACATGGAGAGACTGCCGGCGTTTCAGTCGCGCGAGTTCGAAGATGAAGCTTGTTCTGTGCTAGAAAGCCAATAGAGCGAGATCATGTCGACCAGCTTTCAACCATCACTTCCAGATCCTGATACGACGGCTGAGCTGAGTCCGAAGCTGCTAAAAGACGTTGCTGAGGAGTGGGAGCTTTGGTTACGAGTGGCCCGGAACATGAATCCGGAGGCCGGGCCCACAAAGCACCCAAGCAGCGCCAGCATCATTTGACGCATTTCGGCTGCGAAGGCGACGGGGATCACTCGCAGAGACTGGCGGATGATTATGCAACTCGGTCACGGATTCCCCAAAAATGCCTAAGTGACTTTGGCTTCGGTCCATTCTAAGAATCTCGCTGGGATCTTTTGCATCCAACAAACTCCGAGGGATAGCGAGCTCGTAGTCCGGAAAGTCGCCTCACTTCGTGTTTGGAAGGGGTAGTGCCGGTGGAAGTCGTGCTTTCATTGCTGCAATCTGCTGTACCGGTGTTGGAGCAATCGGCCCACTCCAAGCTCCTTCCCTCGGACCACATTTTGGAGTCTATCTGGTCAGGCAGCAGCTCTACCGTCGCAACGCTGAGAAGGAGCTTCGAGGGCCCATTTGCATGCCCTGCATGCCCATGTGCATTTTGCCACCGGAAGGATGCCAACATTTTCGTGCTGAACGTGACTACTCCTGCGCAGTATTTCCATGCGGCTCGGCCAGGGCAGCCACGGGGGGTTCGGCTGGAAGACACGCAACCGGCGCAACCCCAACCAAATCCGACATGTTCGAAGATGCTCGCTGCTTGCGTCACAGGTGCTGCGCCGCCAAGCCCATCGGCCCTTCATGAAGCCACTGGTGTCTGGGCTGAGAGCATTCCGGAGTGTCACACTCCAATCACCGCAGGGCGCGGCGACCCACACGCCGGGCTGTCGATGTGTCGTCGCAGTCGCCGCAGCAGAGCGGGTTTCCCCGGAGATTGTATCCAGCCCACTCCAAGTCGCGTTGAGGTACTGATGTCGCCCAAGTACCTGCTGCATCATGCGAAGGCCCATCTGCTTCCGCCAGTGAGTGGCTAGCTGTAATCACCTACAGTGATTCAATAGTTGTACTGCTTGACGACGTAAGGGATTGCCTTGTCCAGTTTCAACGCGAGACAACCCCACCGAGCCCTGCTAAGAGCTGGAGAGCCTTTGGAAGGCCACCTCACCGCTGGAGGACTTTGGTGAGCAGAGCCACTTTATGCGGGCATCGCGGACTGCACTAAGCTGCCTGCAGCACAGCGGTGCACTTACAATGATTTGCCTTGAAGCTGTGTGAATCCGTTTCTGCAACAGTTCGTCTCACCCGCCGAAACTTGGACGCAACTGACGTAACTCAAGGATCGTCCCAAAGCATACGTGAAGTTTGTGTTATTCTCCATACGAATGCCTCATCTGGATCTTCTTGCCTCCCTATATAGGTTTGACGGGCAGAACTTCACAGAGAAGTTTCTCTTCAATGGTTCCGGGTATGGAGCACAGACTGGCTTGAGCAATGCTGTCAAATGCAACCGCCGGAAATTTCCGCCGAAGCCAACACTCCGTCCACGCTGGCTTGGGATAAGGATTCTCTTTTTTGGGGAGAGCCTCACACAGGGTGTCAGGGTTGGGACATGGGGCTCTCGCAAACTGAAAGAATCTTTTTGATGTTTTTTTACCTCCTGCCTCAGCTTCTCTTCTGGCCCACGGCCCATGAGACCTCTGCTTCAAAGCCCCCAGCAGCACAGCTCCCAAATCAAAGCGGTTCCTGAGGTGATTGTAGACTACAGCCCTTTGGGGAAGGAGCCTCTGTTCGAGCTTTTCCTTGAACATTCCTTGAGGATTGGGTTGGATCTGGCTTGGCTTGACCATTAGCCTTCTGCGTTCTCTGCATGAGGCTTTGTAAGGCAGAGCAGGCTTCGTACCTGTCCCAGATATTTCTGGCAATGTCGGCGTGGACAGGGCTTAACAGTATAGCATGCTCGAACTCGAGCTCGCGGAACCCGCAATTCCAACAAGCCAACCCTTCGTAAAACCGTGCGAGGAGTTCGCCAGCCGCTCAGACAACACTCGGCATCTCAGTACCAGCAGGCCTCCGACTAGAGTGTTCATACTCGTACTGTGACTTTTGCGATGCGTCGCGCATGCTATGCACAGTCACGTGTTCAGGTCGGGAAGCGACAGCTAGTCTCAACCTTCCAAGGGTATGCAGGGAGTCGGAGCAGCCAGGTGAGCTGCCAGGCCCGAACCTTTTTCAAGTCGCCGCGCTCTTGACGGCGCAGGAGCGGGCGCCCGCTCACCGAGCCGCCGGAGGCACGGCTCCGCGAGCAAGGGAGCACCCCCCAAAACGTGGAGAGAGCCCGTGACGAGCGCTTCGGAGTGAAGGGCCCGGGCCCAGCAGAGCTCGCCGCGTCGAGGCCATTCGACGCGTCATTCTCTGCAGCGGCCAGGTCTACTACATGCTTTCGCCGCACGGTTCTGCAAGACGCGTGGGGGAAGGTTGCAACCCAACCCCTTGCACTCACCAAAGCCACGCGTGCATTGTGCTAGCGGATGGGTCTCTGTCCAGTGTTGGGGCTAGTGGCCCCATGGTTACTAGACAAGAGACCATCCTTTGCACCCTTCAGGAATGCTCGGCGGGCCAAGAAGATCAAAGATATCGTCCTCGTCCGCCTGGTGCCGTGCCACAAGTTCCACCTAAGTTGAAACATCGTGGCGACTCCAGGGACCAGCCGCTATTGTTCGCCTGAAAAGTTGCTGTTTGATGCCGAGAGCGTGGTTATGATTCCTCTCTTATCACGAGGCATTTCACCTCAGATCTTACACAATATCCAATATCCTGCTTTCGCTAAGCTTTTTTCGAAGTCACTGTGTTGCTGCCGTGTTCAGTCACTGTTCGACCTCTTGCAGTTTGCGGGTTCTAAGGAGCAGATTGCGCCGTTTCCCTACGACCGGATCATCAAAGCTCTTTCCTACTATCCGAACGCCAGTTGGCACAAGCATTTGTCCATGCAGGATTTGCGGTTGGTTCAGATGCTGGATCTGGTGCCTACGTGGTTTTGCCAGTGGTAGCCTGCTCGGGCATGAGCTACTGTACGTTTGTTCCCCCCAAGCCAAATGATAGCTCGATGCATTTCTCCCGTTCGTGGCTTCACAACCCGAGGCCGACGTCGTGTGGTGCCAGGCGACAGATTGTGCAGCTTCTTGCTGATTTCATGCGTGAGCACACGAGCCGGTTCCAGCTTTGGCATAGTGCCCGAAGGCGGCGACATATAGGACCCACCAAAAACCCCAGTATGTTGTATTGGACAGGTGCAGATTTAACCTGTCCATCGTGGACTTTTACAGATCCTCAATCAACTTGACATTGATTTGCAGGAGGAGCCAAAGAACATGGGAGCATGGTCCTACGTCTCGCCGAGGACATCCGGGGATCAGAAAGGATCAAGCAGATTCTCCGGCACCGTATCCACGAAACTGGAGCTAAAGAGCAGTCCCGAGTTCTCCAAGCAGAGCCTTCCATCCGAAGCCGGGTCACCGGCTCCCCTGCGGTTTCGAGCTCTTGCGTAGATAAATCCCTCTGGTGTCATGGGCTAGAGCTACGGGCTAGTGGGTGCGAGCTGCATGGCTTAGGTCGTGAATCGGTCATGGCCCGACTTTTGCCAGGCTGGCGACCTGTGTGGAGAGCGACGTGGCCTTCGCCGCTTGGACGTCGCATTTCCCCCACTAAGATCCGCTAAGCACTTTGCACCGAAAGCAAACGCACAGCTCCGGCACCGCGGCACCCTCACACGGCCAAGAGCTAGTCGGCTGAAGGGCGGAAATCCCCGGAACACTGCCGCGAGAAGGTGTTCAGTTACTGACGGAGGGTGCGCCTTCGAACCCAGAGCTCCGAAGCGAAAGCCACTCGCCAGGTCGGGCGGCCGGTCAGTGCCGCACCTGCGACGGGGTCGGCGCAGATCCACCGCGAGGACGTGCGAGGGGCTGGACGCGAGGTTGAGCCCGGCAGGCGCCGAGCGCGCCAAAATGAGCGATGTCCCTGGTTTCCACATCTGGGCTTTGCGCAGCTAGTCCAGATTCAAGCATTCGCTTGTAAAACCACCTCGGTATCGATCTGCCTAGATGTCCCAGGCAATAAGACTCAGGGAGGGGTCATCGCCAGAAATTCCCTGAAGCACCACGACTTGCCCTCTGCCGGAGCCGGAGGAAACACGGCTCATCCTCGACGCTGCTTTTGCCAATTGAGCCTGCGAGGAAAAGAGCCTTCATGGCCTGGCGTTCAGGATCAGAACTAGACTGACAGACAAGACTCGAAATGTTGCCACTTACGAATCGTGCTGGAAGTTGAACTTCGCAAGTTCCCACCTTCCTGTCCACAGATGGAAGCCAGTGCAGCAAAAGGTACTGCGCAGAGCACCAAGAAGTCCGAGGAACCATCAAGGCCAGTCTCGGAACTCGTCCGTTTCTTTGGGCTGCTAGACCCGAGGCGGTCAGGAGTCCCTGGCCCGCCATAGAATGAAAGAGGGCCTTCTATGAAAGCTACAACCATCCCTACATCCCGCTTGAACTGAATCTCTGTGATTCAGACCACAACCGCATGACACAAAGAAAAGCCGAATCTGGAGCACGCCAGGACCCCCAAGTCGCGACCGACCACGCCGCAGGCGAGGTCTCGTTCGTATGGTCGCGTGTACTCATGCGGACTCAGGAGGGTGTGCAGGGTTTGCCGGTGTCGTGTAGGAGGGGTGTTCAGAATCTACTCGCAAGCCAGGAGGTCGGACGGCTCGTGCGCATATTAATCCTAGGCTTCTGGATGGGAACAAATGTTCCACTCGTGGCGTTTCATGGTTCTTGTACGAAAATTTTGGCACATCCCGCAAACCCTCCCCGACGACGAGCTCCAGGTGAGCCAAACGCCTCGGGACCAGCTGAAGTCCGCGGCGAAGCGTGTGAAGGCATTGGGTTCTGGGGTTCGGGGTCAGCTCCTTCGGAACGTGCGCACTCCGAGCAGGATCGCCACGTCACGCTCCGGGTGAAGAACTTGCGCACCACGGCCAAAGCAGACACACGGAGCGGGAGCACGTGGACGGCCTGTCTTTCACGAAGTATTTTTCACAGGACATCGTGAAACCAAGGTTTCATGGCCAGCCTCAACGAAGAGGCGCTGAGGACGCAGGCAAGTCAAGAGTTGAAAGGCTCTGGTTGCTTCACTGAAACCTGGGTACTGTAGTCCTCGGACTAGCCCCCGACGACCTCTCCGAAAGCCTGAAACTGCCTGAGGGTCGGCTTTGGGCGCTGCTCGAGCGCAGCGAAGGTGCCCTGCTGCCGGAGGCGGGAAGGGAAAGTATGCGTTCTAACTGAAGGCACAGGGAGTTGCAAAGCATCGAAAGTGTTTTCAAAGTCTCCGCTTCCCGCAGATCTCGGTGATGCAGAAGAATGTGCTCTTCGACCTGGTGGCACAGCTCCTGGACTTCGCGCTCAGCGAGCCGCTTGGGCCAAGAAGTGCCGCCCAAGCGCGGCCGGCTGCGGCTACCCGTCTTGGAGAGTGCTTCAGTCAGGGGGACCTGTCTCGTGGAACTGAGGGCCGGGCGCCTGTCGAATGCCTCCACCCCTCCTGCGCCTCGGCACTCGAGAAAAAGCGTACGAGAGAGCCTCGCCACGCCACGCGCCGCCCAGGCCCGGGTCCTGGAGCGTGCCTTGTCCTTCGCCCTGGCCCTGGAGCACGGAAAGGACCGCCGGAGGGAGCCGACACGTTGCATCGACTCTGCGATGGTACTTCCGGAAATCCAGAACCCTCATTCGCTCAAGGTTTCCAGGGGCTTTTTGGATCAAGGCGAGTTCAGTAGCAGAGAAGCGTAGAGGGCCGGGTGCTGCGAGGAGATCGCTGTGCCGGTGGACTCCCGCACACAGGCATGGCGAGAGCGTTGCCCAAATAGGACCGACCAGCGAAGCTCCTATTCGAAGGGAGAGCCTCAGCATCCCACAAGAGCTCTGCAGGGGGGCCCCCAAGTGCCCAGCGCCTTCTTCAGCGGCTTGATGATCCATGCCGCTCCGCTTTCGCCTGTCGGTCAGGCGCTGAAACTCGCCTCGTTGATTGACACGCAGCTCCTCTGCCAGGCCTCATAGAGCTCTGCGTCAAACCTCCAAGTGCTCCCTTTGGTCCAAAAGCAGGTGGTGACGGGACCCTTCCGCCGTCGACTTCTCGCCTTGGCACGGCGTCGGGCAGAAGGCACCCTGGCACCCTTTGCTGGAAAGAGCGGTGTCAGCTTCCTGTTCTTCCTCTTCACGTCCATTTCCAAGGTCAAGCCGGGCAAATGCTCGATCCTCCTGTAAAGGTCTATGGGGATTCTATGGGGAGATAAAGATAGCTGAACACGGGCCATCATCCTGCAGAGCAGCGGAAGTTGCAGGCCTCCAGATTCCTACAGCGTTCTGCCATGAAAGTGCCACGGAACCCTGCCACCAGATCAGCCCAGTTGCTGCGCTTCGGAGCAAGGATCCCCCAAATCGGAAGCGAGCTGCCTTTCAGGTTATTCGGGCGGCAGGAACACCTCTCTCAAAGCTCGGCCCCTGGCTTTTCAACTTCCGTTGGTTAAGGGCTAGTTCAAAATAAGGTGCGTGGGCTACCTACTCACCTTGCTGGCGCTACTTTATTAGTTGCATGCGGCGAAAAAGCAGAAAGTTTCAGCCTGACCCAGACGGTTGTTGACCTTTCGCAGCTTTTGTTGCTCCAGCATTAGTCGTGAAATTGCTGTGAAAGTCGCTCGCGAAATACATTGCCGCCATGATGCCCCTTGGAAGCCTCAGAGGGCTCTTTCAATTTTCGCAGGGTCTTACGTAGTCTCTCTTACCGTCCTTTGAGAAGAGCCGAGGTCCTGCGGACGCCAGTCGGCTTTGGTATTTTTTGTAGCCGCCTCGCTGGCCTCCCTGCCCACGTCCCTGGGTGCTCGTGCAGCAGGCGGAGGCCACGATGCTGCAGAGCATCTCCAGAGCTTGAGTGCACTTCGGAAATCTACGGACCCTCCCCCAATCCACCCGACTGCAAGATGGGACCGTTAACAAGCAGCCTGGCGATCCTTGCGAGTGCGGCCAGCAGCCTGTCCGCGTTCATTCCCGTCGATGTCGAAGCTAGATGTGGCATTGGAGGTGGTAGGGGCATAGGGCTACGCCATCGATTGAGTTGCCGGCATAGGCAGAATGACCGGGCACACAACACCTGCTGCGGCAGCCTGGCAGCAACATGGGGTCAGCCCGCACCATGCTTCCGTTCCACGGTTCGCTTCGGCGACGTGCTCAGAGTGCAGAGATGCGGTTCGTTGTATTGAGGGGAGAGGAAGAGTAGCAGCAGAGAGCATTCGGCATCCGGCGCGCCAGCAGGCAAGTTTCAAGGCACCGCTTAGGTCTTAGGCCTGGGTGCCTGGAGTCCTGAAATCTTGGGAGGCGACGGCCTCATTTGCAGCGCCACTGCGAACAAGTGCAAGCCCGCTGTGAAGGGTGCTTGCGACAGGCCGATCCGGGTCGCGGGTATGAACGAAGAGGGGACAACGGCTCCCATTGCCGAACCGAAGCCATGTTTTGACTCTGATCTGACAGAGCCCGTTCCTGCCAGAGCTTCTCTGCAGCCCTCGAAGCGCCGGTACATTCACACAGGGTCAGACCTTGCATGAGACATTCTGAGAGACACGATCTGTTGCAAACAGGTCGAGAGTCGTATGCCACTGCTTAGCCAAGAATAGCACGGTCGGCTCTGGCCAGTCCACCCATCAGATGTTTTGTTCTGAAGGAGAGAATGGATGAAGCTCGAATTCGGGACAAACTGTGCCGTGAGCACATATGGACGATTAAATGGTATCAGCTGTCAAGAGGCAACTTGTCTGCTTTAGCAAATCGGTCCGTCATCGTTTGCAGCAAACCCAGTCCCTGCCAGGTGGGAAAGTCTATGTGCCTTATGCATAACGCCGCAAGGGTCGGTTAGCATGGTTGCCCATCACGAGACCGCTGCCTCACTGGACCAAACGCAGTTTTGATACAAGCATTCTGCCCAAGATCCAAGCAAGTCTGTCCCTGGGCCCGTCAAGCAGCCCAGGTCAAGGACAAAAACGGCGGAAAGGCAGCGTCCTCTTGCAGTTTTGGAAGAATGTGATTCCATGCCTAGAAGCTTGTCGATCTGGGAATCAGTTCCCCGAATCCTGAGTTGTCTAGACAGTTTCCGAATCAAAGACCAAAGACAAGGACTTTGCAGCCCGAGGCAACATAGAAAAGCCGAAGCCTGCTCCTTTCCATAAGAAGGGTCGGAGCTCCTAACTCGAGCTCCTGGATCAAACACGCAAGCAAGACATCCTGAAGCAGAGGGAGCTCGGCCTGGTAGGAGCACAAGTGCTGCGTTGAAAGCCAACCATCAATGCTGTCACCCGAGCCTTGGCTCAGAGTGGAGAAAGGGGGCTTTGAAGGGCCTTCTCGGCTTTGAGGCCTCCGTTTCCAGTCGCCCCCGCTGGGGCTCTCGGAAAGCGTTCTTCACTCAGTGCTAGAGACAGCAGCCGAAGGGCAGGTCTTGTGCCCTTTCCAAAGACCCCTTTGAAAACGCCATCCGCGTACCTGAGCCAAGGAGCTAGGAAATCTTGCTCGGTGATGTGCTCAGGAGCACGCCTACCAGTACGCGCCCATCGACGGCGATGACAGCACTTGCTGTTCGCAATACGCGGAGGACGTCAAGCCTGGCACTTGGATGTCGAGATGCGACAATCATTACAGAATATTACTGTAATATTGAAATTTGTACACTACCTGCCTCAAGACTCGCATCAACGATTGACTTATAAGCGATACCCCATGTTTTGCCCGTCACGACTTTAACAATAATCTGCATCAGCATGGTTGGGTTCCGTATCAAAGGCCGTCACCACTATTTGTAACATGGCCCGTATTCCCCGACCAGATGAAAGCCATTCATACAACGGAAAGAGATGCGACATCACGTATGTTAAATAAACATACGGTGCTCTAGACCACTCCGGATTTCACCTCTGTTTGTACCGCGGTCTCCTTCTCATGTAAACAAGCGGTAGTCAACGTCGATAAAAAAAATCACTTCAAGCTTGACTGCAATGTCTTGGATGTTGTATCCAGCTGTTTAGAATTATTGAACTGATCAGATACCAATGTTCACCTGTATTGAATCATTTAGAAAGGTGTTGATAAACAGCTATGCAAGACCACTTGAAATCCAGCTAGCTGTCACGTGAACAATAGCGGGTAAACACGCAAGTACACGCTGAATTGGCTTGTACAGTTACAGCAGCTGAACACTTACTATAGACATACACGAAACATTTAAGAAGCTGCTTTTCCATACGAGCCACATTCTTACGTAAATGCAGCGTGCAGGCATTGGTTGGGTGCCGTCTATACGCCAGCCCAACATCAGCACACAAGCATGACATAGTGATATCGGCGTGACTGGATACTTGATACCTGAAGATTGAATGTGAGTGAATGTTGCCTAGATGCTGCATACTGTAGGGATTGTAAACTGGGCAGTGCTTAGCAGCCCTCATCGTAAGCCCTATGAAGTACTCAACAAGCAAAAAGTGCATTATTGAGAGACATATACATCATAAACATGTTTGATTTGCGTGTGTCTGCTTGATAGTAGATATGAATTGTCACTGGGTGAGACATGAGGGAAAACTTGCACAGAATGCACGTAGATATCCCTCTCACAACTGAAGATATCCTCCCCATGTTCCTGCTTACCGTGAGACTTCCCAGGTTCCCAAAAATTCCCACGGATGCAGCACCTAGTCCACAAGGTACACTGAAACATTAGGGCACACTGTTTTGGAGATCGTGTTAGTGCGAGAAACTCTCGAGCCTTACCTGTAGTTTCTCTTGTATGTAGTGTGTACTTGTACAATTGTATAGCAGTACATGCTGAAGCCCTGATGTTCAAGCCATAGCAGGACAAAAGGTAGGTTCTGCTCGTTTTGCATGGTAGCGGAGCTCCTGGTTGCCTAGACGAGAGGCACCGAGCTCGTGCAAAACGGGTTTTATACCGCTAGCTGCGTGGGTAGCAGCAGCGGGTGACACCGCGGGCTAGGCAGAGGAGGCCAGCCCAAAGGACCGAGGGAGGCTTGTCCTTAAACCCTCGTAAAGCAAGACAAGCCGACTTCGAGCTGCGTGTGAAGCATCCGAAAGAAGGAAGCCACGGGAAAAGGTGGCCAGACAGATAAGCGCAAGGCCAGGAAAAGGCGCAGAGTCGTCCGGAGGCCGAGGGCCGGCTTCGGAGGGGCCTCCGGGCCGACGCGTTAGAAGCCAAGGCGATCGAAAAGCGAATCTTCAGAGGTTTCGCGCGACGCGCTGAACGAACTCTCTCTCGAACTGAAACGGACAGGGCACCGCAAGAGGCGCCAGTGGTTGAAACAGCCGAGGACGCTCTACGACTGCAAAGTCGACCACAAGAAGGTCGACACCTCGGCTACGGAGAGTGGCTCGACGGTGCCGGAGCAGCTACCTTCCGTGGAGGAGAACGCCACCTGGAACCGATTGCGAAGACAGTACCCAGGTCTTTCGGGCATAGCAGCCGAAAACCCGGGCAGGTCGGCGAGGCAAAGCTACTTGAGGAACGTAGCTTCAAGGAGCTCAGCCAGGGCTTGGGCGCTTGGCTAGGACTACCGGAAGGACTACCGGAAGCTCTTCTTGTGCAGAGGCTGGAGGGAGTGAGGATGAAACCTTCGAGGCAAGGCAGGCCTCGCGGGTGATACTGCCTACCGAGTGGAGCTGGACAGAGCCGGCTGTAACGGTGGCCGGTGAGACCGCGACGCACGCGCCAACGACAATGCACTGTTCGTCTTCTGAGGACGAGCAGCAGGCCAAGAGCGAAGAAAATTCCGGCGAGAACAAGGTGGCTGCGAGCAGCAGCGTTGGGTACGAAAGCCGAGCCCCTTGAGTGGGTTGGCGGCGCCAGGCAACACCTGCACCAAGCGCCACGACTGGAGAAGACTACGGCAGCACTCGTGAAGACTGGCAGGACTGGTCGCAGCAAGGAGCGGAGGCCAACAGACTGTGGGCAGAGTGGTACAGGACTCGGCAGTACCACCCTTACCAAACGGGTTGGCACCGTTAGAGCGGGTGATACCGCCGAGCTTTTGCGGCAACCTAGGTTGTTGCAGACCTCGGCATAGGCACCTGTAGCGGTGTAGATCTGTACAGTAGAAAGGTTTTCGTTTGCAGCTCTCGGGATGGCGACCCTTGAAGGGCTTGCCGCGCGTGTACAGGAGCTGACTGAAGGCTCGCAAAGGGCCAACGTTGCCTACAAGCAGCAACAAAAGAGGGCA